AATTGCAGTTCATTTTATACAGATATGTTTATTAAATTTACATATATTTTATCGCAAAAACATAAAAAAAAATTTTTATTACTACCGACTATCAGTTATAAAATTTTTAACTTTTTTTTACATCTGACTCAATACTACGGACTTTATCCTCGGTTACTTGAACATCATTTTCTATGTAAAATAGAAAAAAAATTACAAAAATAGATACATTCGTTAAGGTGCCGAAAGGAAATTATTTATTTTCGTAACAAATGTGATTCGCAACCGGATTAATATGCTTGAATCCTTATTTTGAAAACTTTAATAAAAAATTATAAACATTTAACATTTTTATTTACCTATTATATTTTGCTTATTAATTGTTTTTATAACATACAATCATTTTTTGTATACCTAAGCTAATTACATTTCATTTTTAAATATTTAAAAAAATTAGAGTGACGATAAATTTTTAATTACCCTTCAAACAAAGAATCTTGATAATATAATATTCATTCGTACGGAAAATAATGATCTCAATAATATTTATGTCGACGCGTAATCAACTGTCGTCGCTACGACTCAGTTTGAAGTGAAAAAACTAGTATATGCGTTTATATGCTAATTTATATGCAGTGGCATTCAATGTAACTTATTCAACACTCCCATTCAATTTTCATTGGTAAGTTTCTTCTTTCATATATTTTTTTTATAGACCAAGAATACACGTAGACTCAATTATAATAACAGCTTAATGTAGATTTATCACCAGTTATTATTAATATAACAATATTAAATATTCCTAATAATTTTTTAATTTTATTTTATAAACTCCAACAATCATTTCAAGTTTATTTGAGTTAATTCCTTTCTAGTTTTTATCTTTTGAATCATTATGTCAAATGTCAATGTTGAAATAATTATTAGTACTGTATATATGAGTTCAACTTATTATTATAAAAAAATATTTTATTAAATGATTTTTTAAATGTAATGGAAAAAAATACATGGCTCTAATTATTGATATCATTGAATCATTCTTGTCAATCATAATCTTTGTTTATTTCTATATCTTACTTAATCATGATGACTTATTTTATCCAGATAAAAATGAATGTAGAAATGTGTAATTAAGAAAATGCTCTACCAGCACTTGATTTTTTTCTCTTTAAAATAAAATAGTTAGATTTTAATAACTATTTTTCACATTCCTGTGTGACAATTCTTGTACACCTATAATAGTTTTCTTGATAGCTACTTAGCTAATACTAACTTTTTAATTAAACCAAGTTGAAATATATTTTTCTTTCCTTGCTGGCTAATTTATTTTTTTTTAATTAATTAATTAATTTCGTTATTTTTTTGTATACATTTCTAGAAATAATAAATAAATTTGACGTATACAAATAAATAAGCTCCATAATAATATATCATTGTTTAAATTGAATTAACAACTGTACATTATAAATTTCAATTCTAAACTTGGTTATAATGAATATTTTATTAGTTATTATGGTTAGATAATAAATAATATATTTACTTTTTATGATAAATAGGTTTTATGTAAGTAAAATTGTATTTTATTAATAATATTAATAAGCGAAAATAATAATATGTAGGTAATCTAACCTATGTTGCTACTTAAATTTTTATCATTAATATTGTTATCAAATAATATTCCCGTAGCTTAAATATACTTATTTAGCCTCTTGATGTTAATTTAAATACTTATCAAATATTTTACAAGAGATAAATACTTAAATAAACACCAATATTTAAATGCATGATACTTTTTGAAATTGGAAATACTATCGCTTTCCAAACGTAGTCTTGCAACTATATAACTAATTTAACTTATGTTTTTATATTATTATACACACATTTTAAGTTTGACAATTATGAAGCATATAGAAAAATAGGAAAGTTAGTACTTATCTACTATGATATGATATTATAAAGGACATAGGTACAGAAAAAAAATCTGGTGTAAAGTAAATTATTATTGAGTTGTAGCGTTAAGAACAAATCATTAAATCAAATCAAAATTAAATTAAACCACATTTTATTTCTTTATATTTTACGATGACTATATTAAGAAGGCCGGTTTGGGAAAAAACAAAGAGTTATGTGACATATTATTATAAAGTATGGGGTAAAAATGCTCAAGACTCTAATTTTCTTCTAAACTTCACGTATAACTACCGATTTCCTAAGAATAGATTTATGCTTAGTTTATTTACTTCTATCCATTTACTAGGCGATTCTTTTATTGAACAACCCATTCAATATTTCATACTCAAAACCATACAAAAAATAGAAAAAAATAATCAGTAGATACCTTTATTTATAAATACAAGCGGAAAGGCTTCGATCTGTGTGTTCAAACCCCTGGTTAAAATTTAATATTAACTTTAAGCATAAGAAGCATGAACGTTTTAACGAAATGCCCGTCGACGTCATAACAAAAAATCGAATGAACGTAATATTTCATTCTACCTACTCAACTAATGCAAATTTCTTAATTTATAAAAGTATTTAGTTATGTGATCAAAATCTATTAAATAAATATTTAATACTTAATACAATTCTCTGAGATTCGTTTAAAAAATAATATAACTGTTTCCATAACGAAGACGCATCTACAAAGCCCGCAAACGGGTATAACCAAGAGGGAACACAAGTAGGTAATACAACACGTGCAGTAGAGACAGTAAAAGGTAATCGTATAAATAGTATTAATTATATTTTATACGTAATTAGATCAAAGCTACATGGCGCTGACAAACGTTTCGGTTATGAAAATAAAAGCATATATAAATGTATTGTAATTTATAATAGGTACTTTGAACAAATTGCTTTGAAATTCGAGGTGAGCATCGAAGCCATATTATATCTTTGCTTTTATTTTAGATGATCAATTCAATATGATTACCTACCCTACTTTATATAGTCAACAAAAACTAAAATAATTATTGTAAATAACTATACGGCCATACCTTCGAATATTATCGTTATTAATTAATTACAAATACACAAAATATACATTTATATACAATCAATTACGATTACAATTTACTGTTTAGCTGATATAAATCGTGTAATAATGTTAAATTTGTGATTTCTTAGTACAAGTAGGTAGCTACTATAATTGTTTTCTTAAATATAGAACACATTGAATATTTATTGATTTAATAATTAATTTCTAGAAAGATTAGCGTACAGAGTACGTACCCATTTACAAATGGTTAGAAAAAAATTAAATTTAAATGTCACCCACCAACACACGCATAGATGATATTATGATACATACATATATATAACACAGATTATAGGCTATGATGAGAAAATTAGAAGAATTATGGAAGTTTAAACCCTCAAGAAGTCATTAAAAATGTTTAAGTAGGTAAGTACATAATTCACATATACTCTATACTCTCTATAGACTACACTGAAATTGTTTATCGGTAAGTTTAGACCACAAGATTAAAGGTGACAAAAAAAAAAAAAAAAAATGTAAACAAATTAGCAAAAAAAGCAATATTATTATCAATAAATAAATAAAATTATAATTTAATTCAACCTGCATATTTAAATCAATATTATCTGATAAATTCAGTCTTATAAAGAATTTGAACAAAAGTAATCAAATACCTTTAACTTTTTAATACCTATATTTCAAATACTTTCTCAGTTTATTTTAAATCTGTATTTAAAATTAGTTCTGCTGTATAGTTTATAGTAAATGTAAAGAGTAGGTATTCAACTACATGTAAGTTTTAAGTATTTTACAAAATATTAGTGTCTGTTTCGATAGTTAAATATTTTTAAAAAGTATCTTCTACAAGACATAAATTTCGTAGTAAAAGTATCAATACAATATACACCTACTTACTTATTTTACCTCCAGAATTTATTATTAAATTAGTTATACTTAATTCTTAAGTAATAAGTATAGGTTTATAATTGTATTATATCAAACTATTGGTAACTTTATGTGTGATTTTCACAAGATACACAGATGTTATATTAATTTTAAAAATCCATTAACTTCTGTAGCTGCATCAATACAAAATATCAAATTGGTTATCAACCTATGCAACGTTTGAAAATTATTTCTAAAAATCCATACATATATGCCTAGCCATCTACACATCAAGATTCAACATTATACAGTAAAATATTTTTGTTCATTTTGTGATGTGTTTTTCCGTTTGTTAAAGGTATATATGATTTACGGGACCAAAATATAGCTTTCCGTTTCACGTAAAACAGGTTTCGTTTTATCAAGGGTTTAATCCTATGTTAAGCTATAGAAATCTGCCGGGACCATATAACATTTCCGCACAGAACAGGAATCCGTCTTATCAAGAGTTTGCATAAGACAGGTTTTACTGTATAAGTTGACTTATTATCTTTCATACAAATATATATTTAAAAAAATGTAACTTATGAATAATGACTATCATTACTACACTGATTTTTTTATCATCATGAACGCTAAAAATAATATCACACTGCCACTGAAAATAGAATAAATAGTATTTATAAAAATGAAGAACACAAGAATTTCAATTAATTAATAGTGAAAAGAAATAAGAATTAATCATTGGACTATATTAATTTTATAAATTGTATTATTATTGTGAAAAATACAATTTTATTATCACTATATTAATAAGTACTATGGACTTAACAAACTTTGGTATTAAATTATATCAAGCGTAAAATATAACTATTTTATGAGTAGCAAGGCAACAAAACAAACAAACAACATTATTTCTTTTTCCTTGCAGACAAAAAATTCACAAAAACTTAACTTTTTTTTACATAAATTATAAAAAATTAAAATTTTTAAATACAAAATATTTAGTGATATACATAAAAACAAATAATTTAAAATGATAAATTGAAAACTGATTTTTTTAACATTTTTTTTTTTTATGTCAGTAGAATAAATTTTAAATTTTAAAAATTATATTGTTAAGTAGTTGCATCCTGTTTGGATAATTTACTATATAGTTTATATATACTGAGGTAAACTTAAATACAAAATAACTGATTTATATTGATAAAAAATGAACAAATATGTACAAAATCATTGCTAGAAGCGACTTTGGTTCATATTGTTATCAATGCTCGTATCATTCTGAAAAAATCAATTCATACACATATAATACATTAATTTTGATAACGAAAGAATTCAGTTATTTACCCATATAGATAATAGAAAAATGAAAACAGATAAAATGATAATTTTATCCAACCCTCACGTTGATACTTATACAATTTATCAGCATTCATGATACTTGTAGGATCATAGAGACCAAAACCAGACATAACTGGTCTATTTTGATATCTATTAAAAAAAATCAGTATTTTTATAAAAACATCACTACAGTTAAAAAATAGTTTATGTATGCTACTTTTTTTTTAAATATTACCTTTTTATATGATAGGCCATTAATGGTATATTAATAGCAAATGAAATCCATTGACCTCCAAACAAAAATAAAAGGTTGAAGAAGAAGTGAAGCATATACTCAGGAATCACTAGCTATAATTAAAAAATAAATATTTTTTAAATATTTTTAATTATAATATATTATTACAGCGTTTCTAAAATTGTAGGTTGTGATTTAATTTTTGGTAGATCGCGAATAATTTTTGTATTATATAGATTCAAAGAAATTTATATTAAATTATAATATACTTATATTTAAAAAAAGTTATTTTTTATAACTACTCTTAAAAATGTGAAACCATGTGGGTCGCAAAATATTTTTTTGGAGAAAATTAGGGTTGCAGTCCTAAAAAGATTAAGATCCACAGTATTATACTATAGAAAAAAAACAAATTATAAATAAGTGGGCACTACATACTGGATAGTTATTAGGCTGATATGCTGTTATGATAGACTTAAAAGTTAGTAGCAACTGTAATTAATTTTTTTAATTAGATTAAATAAAGTTGTTCTAATTGTTGTTCTCATAATTTTATATTTTTTTTAACTATAAAATTTAAAAAAAAAATAGTACAACCATAATTTGTTCTGAAGAAAAATATTATTTATTGAATAATCTATTTCACATTTAACTTTAAGGTGTAAGCTTAAATGTACAGTCAAGTACCAACTAAAACATATCAGGTACAAATAAGTTTTATATTTAATTTTTTTTTTTAATATTTTCTTAAAAACTTTTAGATTGGTAATTTTGTGTTACTTAAAATGGTATACAGACGTTATATCACTATTAAAAAATTGAATATATGGATATTTCATACTCAATAAATATCAAGATTGGACATTCATCCCTAGGAGTTTTTAAATATAGTATGTTTGGTCCGAGATGATATTTTTTTTATAGAATGTTTGATTCTATTCATTTTAAAATCATTATTTACATTAATTTCTTTAGATTTGTTCAAGTTTGTTATTTCATTAATAATTAATACATTTACAACTATTTTTAATAAGCAATTTCCTGTTTAAATGCCAATAATACAAAAAATGTTTAAGAATTCCTGGGGACCAAATAATGTTCTATCTTAATATTTATCTAGGATGAAACGTACATAAACTCAATTTTTTAATGGAGATGAAAAGACATGTATGAAATATTTTAGAAAATTTAATTTTTATTAACAATTGATAATGGAACTAAAATAAACAATCCTGCCTAAAATAATATAGATAATTATATCTATATTTCAGTATTAACTGAAACATAATTATTAATTATTATTTTACTTATGATTGAAAAAAAAATTGTTTAATTCAGAATTTTGAATACCTTTAAATGCGTGTTTTATATCATGTATGTAACACAATCATTATATAATTATTGTCAGCTAAAAATTTATTGAAATGAGAACCAACCACTCTTTAAATTCAAAAATATTTAAATTTTTTTCACATTTTAATAATATTTATTTAGAAACATTAAAATAATTTTACTTACAAAAGATATGTAAAAATGCAAAACTACAATAACATAAGTATTAATGCTAAATATTTAGTTGAAAAATAAATATTCTTAGAAAGTACCATGTTACCATAATAATATTATGTCCATATACCTATTTACTTAAAATAAAATAATAAAAATAAGTATTGATTAAAAAAATTATTAATAACCATGAGTTTATACACTGTTTATATACCTATATTTAATTATTAATGTATGTCAGAAATAATTTTAAAACATATTTTTGGCTAATTTTAGTATTTTTTCATGTTATGTAAAATAAAAAGTATTCAAGTAAATTAGAGTCTATAATTTATTTCAAAAAATATTTCAAATTCAATAAAATTAAAAAATATGAATAAATACATAATTAAATATTTTATATTTAATTTTATTTATACTCACTGGATTTAGACTGTTACATTGATCTATAGGATTTTTGCTATCAGTTTTAAGTTCATCAAATGCAATAATCTAAAACAAAAATAATTTAAACTTTAAAGTAATTAATTAATTGTTGTTTAATTTCATTAAGTGGTCTATAATAGCATGATATATATATATTTTAAACATATCTAATATAATTAGGTTAAAACTAATATCTAATAAGTAAATAATTTTAAACAAATTTTACTCATTTAAAATTATGAATCATATAATACAACAAAAAGAAAAAACTGTTAAAATAGATACAGATTGCAGGTTTTTAAATGTAGATAAGTTTAAAAAAGAAACCATACTCTGTTCAGACAAAACTCCTTGAAACTCAGTTGAAAGACTGCAATCTCTACACACTCGCTGGTCTTTTCTTACCATCAAAAGTATGTGCGAAACTAGACATTTATTCTAATTATTCTAAATAGTGTGTATGGTAAATAATGACAAATAGAAAGCATATATGACATAACATTCACAAAATGAAAAGCCATATCGAGTTTTGTCAATTAAAGTAGGTAATGGAGGCAATATACAAACAATTGAAATATTTTAAATTTTTAATGAAACATTTTTCTTTTTTTTTTGATTAATGGTAATAGGTAAGTAGGAATAACTTGTGAAAAGTTATTGTTAAAACTAAAAGAACAGTAGAGATCTCTTAATTTAAATACAAAATATGTTTGATTAATTTCTCAATGTCATAACTCATAAACCTATGCTGTGCGTATTTACAAAATTTTAGTTAGTTAAATAGGTACTATATCTGTAGATTAATTACCACACACTTTTTTCTTAGTAGATTGCAAATACTAATAGTATATCTTTAAACTTTAAATGGTATAGGTAGAAGTATTTACCTAATAATACTATAATTTATCTCTAATATTACATTACAGTAGGTACTTACATGAAATATTGAAAAAAATATTAAAAATGCATCTGATATCATCGCCATAATATAAGTGAACGCTGAGAATGTAAAAGACATTGTAGTAGTTTATTGTACTCAGTTAATTAAAAACTAAAGTCACTAAAAAATCAATTTAAAATATCATAATCATAGATAAATTTAATAAAAATACTTTTAAGTATTAATATAGAAAATATAAAATAATTTATTTGGTGAGTTTGATCACTACCGTTTAGTGTTTAGACAAAAAAAAAAAAAAAAATTATATTATTATAGGCAGTTTAAATATTCGATCTTCGGTTCATTGAAATCGCATCAAAATGTACGTAATTAATTATAGTAGACACATATTATATACAATTTTAAAACATGTTATAACTTAGATTACAATATTAAAAATTATATTAAATATATGTAATGATAAAATACGCGTATTAAAAATATTTTTTAGCAGTATATTATTATTATAATAGAGCTAGTCAACTAGTCGAAATACTCATTACTCATACAGTCATACTTGATACATAAGTAATAAGTATTCTTAATCGTTTATCGTATTAGAATAGTCGTTATACAATAATTTCATGATTGATAACAGCCGAGCGCTGGCGATAACAGCTTTAGTTATTTGGGCTTGGTTCGATACGGAGGTTACAATGGTTACATTACAATTTACAATATCTACTTTCAGGCTTCAACACTTCAAAAGTAGGTACCTACATTGTACGACTTGTACGTATATAACAATTTACAGCCTCTAATGGCTCTAATATAATATTAGAAATATTGAAAATAGTACATAATGTCTATACAAATAATAGATTAGGTTTATTAAAATAAAAAAAATATACCTATCTATCTAATAAAAATCGTAGTGTTTTACATGTTTATTCGTTCGGTACATTACCTATCTAGGAAACTTATCTACTGCCTACTTAGACATTACATTAACTATAGTTGTGACTGGTGACAAACCTAATCGAAAACTTAACCTTGAGAGATCGCTTATAAATTATTATGATATAGCAATTAATTGTAGCCATTAGATATGATTGTATTAATCCTGATGAACACTTTAGTGCCATAACGAAACCTATTTATGATTGTGATCTAAATTCTAAATATTATGTAATACACTAATACCCACTTATTAGTTATTACTTATTTATTATTTTGATGAGTAAGAAGTAGGTAGGTACCTACACGACTTTTAATTTCCAATGTAATATAAAATCAAAAAATATACAAATACAACAGGTTGGTTACTTAAATAAATTAGTGTTTTTACGATTGGTGATTTTCAATTTTAAGACTCAGTGAAACAAAATATGTACCTATGTTCTATGTATCCATATGTATTTAGTTAAATTACTAACTATTGTATGTTTAATGTGTAATTTTTCTTTTGTTTGTCGTTAAGATTAAGAATATACAATTTACTTCAATTTTCAATACTGCAGGTGGAGGAGGAATGTAAATTCTGGTAGATAACTTTATATTCGTATTCTAGAAACACAATATTTTTAAAATGTTCAGTATTCATTTTAGTTTTCTCAATAATTGGAAGAAAAAAACAGCGATAATACGGAAATTTACTTAATGCTAGGTTTTGACAAAATAGATATTGATTTTTGTTTTATTTAAGAAAATACATTTATTATAGAGACTTGAAATATTCACCAAATATAAAAACTTTCTTTTCATATAAGACATACCTACTATTGAATAATAATTGTGATTTGTAGTAGTAATTATTATAAGTGAGGGTATAAATATTAGCCTAAAATTAACTTTAAATAATTTTAATACTGCATTATGTATAGGAAATAATAATATAGATCAATGGAGAAAGATCTACAGTATCTATTATTTTATTTAGGTATATTATACCTATAATAAAATAGGTAACTAAAATCGTTATTTACACATTTTATGAAAGTTAAATTTCAAATTTTAATATGAAAAAAAAATTATAACTATATACTGACATATTGATAATAGTTAATAGAATTATCATATAATCAATTAGTTATAAAAATGTAATTATATAACAGCATATTAGGTATATTCAAACTCATAAAATGGCACTAATAATAAAATACTATTACACATTTTATAATTATCACTCATATTAATAATTTATTGATCAACATTCAATGGTAAGTATTCATTTTACCGTAATCATATTTATTTGTTTGTGTTCTGTAGTATAGGTTCATGGTGCGGATATTTGAATGTTTTTATAACTTTACGACAGGTCACAGGCTATCAGAAAATCGCTGTTGTATAGTACCCACTGTAAAAATTCTATAATCACAGCGTACACTATATGTAATATAATATTATACGTACAATATTCACCCTTCGTCGGAAAAGCTCGATCGTGCACACGCACACACACTTGAGTCACGAACTGACGCTTTTCCGTTAGCTATAATTATTGTTATTATCATTATTTTAGTAATTATTATTATTGCGCCATGTTCTATACATTATACAGTGTAAAAAATGATGAAAAAAACATTCGTTTGAAGTAATATAATACACGCGTGTCTAGGTGTATATACCCCACATCGTCAACCTAAGCAACCACCTCCGGCGATACAATACACAGCATGAGGGACAGAATAAAGAAATAATGAGCTCTATATACGCACCACGAAACATGCAGATTACCGCTTCCGGTAACATATTAATAGTATATAAACTATAGTATGCACAATATACGTAAGTATAATATGTATAACACCACTATTATAATATTTTAAAGGAGATGTATTGTATGTATATAATGTTGTATGAAACTTAGTGAACTTCATAACAATATATCATGACGAAAACTAAATAATATTACCCTCTCCTCGACAAGAACTGCTTGCAGAGATTGGATTTTGATTGTTTTCATTTATTTTTTTTCGTTTATGTACTTACTGTTAACGTAGTAGTTCATCTCCCTTAATGAATAAACACACATACACACACATATAAAACAAGCTTACTGATAGGGTAGTTATTTCCCTATCTATGAGTACACAGTTATTGTAATGATAAATCGTCGTGTGCGTGTCGCTATTAATACGACTCAGCGCCCTTATTATTACCAATCGGTGCGGGTGCATTAAACTACGTAAGTAAGTATATGCATCATATATACATATATATTAATCATATTTACGCTATGTGGGTAAGTTGTGATGCTCAAAGACATAATTTATAGTACATTCGAACAAAAAAAAAAAAAAAACAAAAAAATAGTTGCATTCGAGCTAAGTTATGATAATAAGATCTTTTAGAACAAACTGAATCACGGGTTGTTTTAGATACCCACTCGTATATACTATAATATTCTAATTGAGTCCTATAAAATGTAAAAAACAGGTACTTAATACTGATTAAAACCATGTTTTTAATAATATTCCTGCAAGACTTAAAAAAAAAATCTTTCCTAATTTTATAAATTAAGGATTATTTATAGTAAAGAATTCTACAGATATCTATTATGATTAAAAATTTTTTTTTTTGGTGTTTATTTTCTAAAATTTGATCAATATAGGTATTTAAAAAAAATATATGTATATAATTCAGTTATTTAAATTGGTTGATATAATATACATATTACTTATTTCAAATGCTAACTCAATTAGTGTATTATTTTTGTACCATTTATGTATAAGACTCAATTAGTAGGTATGCACCGAAAAAAAGGTGACCTGTAATATTATATGTATTATTATTATATAGTCGTTAATATTAGGGCATATTATATAATGCTTGAGTATACTGTAAAGTGTGTATATTTAACAGGCTAGCAGACTGTAATATTTAGGTATAAGGTGGATTATGCATGCAAATTTTAAACGCGCATTTATAAAATAGTATATCGACTATAAAAAAATCAGTAATAGATTCCCCATCAAATCATAATAATTTATTTATTTTACTTAATACTTGGAGAAATAAAGTACCAACCTACGTAAGTATAGATCTACTTGATTTTTTTTTCTTGGTAGGCTTATATAGTTATCATTTTTAAACATTATACAATATAATAATAATTAATATCAATTCTTTTAAATATTAAATTTATAATCTATATAGTCTATACTCTATAGTCTATAATATAAGTAATAGTTTATTGCAAAAATATTTTTATTTGCCCGCATGTTAACCGTCGTCTGTTTGATATTCAGATATCTCAGTAGTCAGTGGTCGATTTTATAATAGTTAAAACTTATAAGTCATAACTTAATTAAGATAATTTAAAATAAAAAAATTGTTGTTATTTAACTATGAAACTTTCCTTCCAGACACCGGATGATTGACGTTATATATCAGAATGTGCTTACAAGTTACAATTTTGAACGATATAAAATTGGATATGATTTTTAAAGCGTTCATTTTAAAATATTTTTTACATAGGTAAATAATACGACACCTAATTCTCATGTATGGTGCAAGGGGCAATTCAATAACAATCATGCTCACAGCTCACAGCACTAATAACTGATCAGTAATAACTAATAAGGTATCAAATGTTTCTTTTAACAATAATATTGTTTATACATTTTTTTTTCTAACTCCAAGCTCTAATTTTACACTCGTAAACATCAGTGTAAATACGATTACTGTTAATTACCTTTTGATGTGATGGTGCTTGTAAATAGTGAACAATAATTATAGGATTAATAAAATACATTTAACAATAGTGTACTATACATAAAAATATAAACAGTATCTGAAAAAAAAAGTAAATAGGAAGTAAACAAAAAAATTAACAAATCCCATTAAAAAAAAAAAAAATAAATACAATATACATATGTTTGATGTATATAAAAACAAATTTGAAACTCTTTTCATTACAAATTATCTAGATTATCATATTTAATATTTATCTCAGATAACCTTTTAATTTAAAAATATAAAATACTTAAAATTATTTTTTATCTAAATAAGCTAAATTATAATATCATTTAAAATAATTTAACAGTTTAAATACTTTGATATGACTTTAATATTACTTATACAATGAGTTAGTATTAAGATCTTTAAAAAAATAATACATTTATTCTTATATAATACTTGTAAATGCATAATATACCTATATATTATATTTTCTTATTTTCAATAAAATAGTAGGTGTTATTTAAAAATTAAAATTTGCATAAATAATAATACCATTTAATAGATAAATTATTTTTATTAATTAAACAACTAAATTAATACAACAATATTCTTTAGTTTTAAAGTTATTTAAAAATATAATAAATGTAAGTATTAAGTGTTATATTTTTCACGTTTAGTGTTTTTAAAATATTAAATATGTATGAATATATCGAAAAAAAATACTAAAAATCTCATATCAAATTATATTTATATAAATAAAGTAATAAAGAACTTATAATATTATGTCATTATGGTTGTATTTTTTATTTGCACCTAAGTTTATTTAATTATTTTTTAATAAATTATTAGGATGTGATATACCTGTATCATCATTCATTGCACTTATATATACGAAAAACATATACCTAGTATATCTACTAATGACTTAATTTTATTAGTAGGTAGTAGGTACCTAAGTAAAATGTATTTTTAATCAATATTACTGAAATAGCGTCATTGGTTAATTGTTATCAAATAAACTCTAGATTCTAGAACAATGGTTAATTAATTTATACTTTGAATTCAAATACAAATATTGTACGCCAGTCGCCATTACGTAACTACGTATCTGCATCACTTTAAAAGACAGAGTTCCTGTATAAAAGTATGGCATATAATAATAGTCAATAATTTGCAAATTAAAATATATAAATAGTAAATGTTAAACAATCAGTTAATAGTTATTAATTATTCATTAAACAGAAAACTTAAAATAAATTAGTTTATTTAATTATTATGCAATGATGTTATTTCAATTTTCAACAATAAAGTAATGTATAAGCATTGATTAAATATTAACTAATGGTATAAGTATTGAACTTTATTGTGTAGGTATATATCTAATAATTATTGACTACTTTACTAACCATTGTGTACTAATGTACTGGCTACAACCGATCAGTAGGTACTACAGAAGTAAAGTATTGACTACTGCTATGTTTTTAACACAATGTTTTAATTTTTAAATGTTTAAAATAATATGTTTAATACTTATCTGTAGATCTGTTAATGTTTAATACACATCTTACATAATTTTTAAATCGTACATAGATTAAATTAATAAAATACATTTTTATACTAAAAATAGTAAAAATATATTTATATATTTAAACAACCACTATAGTACGTAAAATCACCATAAAATAAGATTAATCATTAATAATAATATTATAAAAACAAATAATTAATTATAATAAGTAGTAATATTAATTACAGTAATAACTAATAATTATCTACTATTATTTTAATATTTTAAAATTTACGATTTTTACATTTTACATCAGAATTATAATCGGATTACACGTTAATACTTAATAACTGTACAATTAATATTATGCCAAAACCTTAAGTTGTCTTAAATATGTGTTCTGATGTTAAAATTGTTGAATGTAATATATATATATATAACATATACCAAATGTCATCAAATGGCGGTCCGTGAACAAATTTTATCCGGCCCGCAGGCTGCAAACAAAGAAAAAAATTAAAAAACAACATTATATATGTTTTATTGTGAATTATTAATTTTTATTTAAATTTTTTTAAATATTTCTAACACAAATTATATTTTAATGTTTATAAACAATAGCAAATACTAACTAATAAATAAAAAATAATAATAATCTTATAACATCCAATTTTAAAATAATATCTTTTATAATATATTAAAAATATGTATTCGATGGCCTTAAGAAAATATTTAATAAATGATCTCTGATAGGTACCTATATACTAGTTAAAACTAGGTAATGATTAAAGACAATCGAGTCAATTCTATATTATAGTATATATTAAATAATAGTAATTACTAATTAGGTACAAAAATTATTTAGAAAATATTTTTAATGTGTACTGATAGGTAGGTACTTAAATATTTTATTAAAATATTAGGTATTAATGTATTATAGATATTTACTTATTTTATATTTTATATCCCAATTCCCAATAGAGTATAGATTATAGTTAATAATGATAAATTGTTATACTACACAATAAAATAATACTACGATCAGTTGATAAACAAATTAATATTAACTATTGAACTAGTATTATAAACCTAATATAACATACATATTTACTATTATAATTTATTAGGCGTCTTATGGCATAGCCGTAATAGAAAAAAACTATTTATGAATGTTGTACAAAAGAAATAGGTACCTATTGTTTTTAAATAGTCATATAAGCTATACCTAGCCCATAAGATATAAAGTTTAATTAAATTAAATTTTTATAAATTATAGGTACCTATTTCGTGTTATTTGGCATAATTTCTGTCATGTAACATTCGTATGAATAATTAACAGCGTATCTTAATACTAGGTACCTCCTTAAATATGAGTACTTAATAACTAATAGATACCTATATAGGTCCTATAGGTAGGTTATACTGGTGATAGTAATATTTATGTAGTTTTCCAAATAAAACCGAATCAAAAGAAAAATAAAAATAAAAAATGCTTATTAACTACAATCCTTGATAGGTACCTATTTTAGTCGAATAGATATTAACAGATTCAAAAATCAAAAATTATCGTGTCGAACCGTCGACCTACACAATACAAATGATAAAAAGTAACATTTAAGCAATAATAAATAATAGTATTCGTCTTCATCTGTACCTACTAAATATGTATTAAAATTTATAATGCCAAGCCCCTCCCGAAATCCCGAAGTTTGAACGCTAGCCAAAGGACGACATGCACCGTTCCTCCTCCACTCATCACTACCTCCAGGCGCGTAATTATCAGCCGTAAACAAAAGAATTTGCCCGCCGTTGGAGGCGAAGCGTTTCGGGTTGTACATTCCACAGGTGGGCAGCGTTCGTTACAACAGACGCGTCTACTCAGTACCCACCACAATACCACTATCTATTGTTACTACCTGCCGCCGGGACGACGCGCGACGGTAAACGACGCTCATTAGTCATTAGTCATTCTTCAGCGCGCGTTGGTCAAATGTTGTTATTCGTGTTTTTTATGTTTCAGTTTGTGACGATTTTTTAACTCTAATATTAAACGCATCCATTTGGCGTTTGATCGATTTACGTCGTCAACTCACTGTATTTTATTCCCTGCACTTCGTCCGCCCGTGCGCGGAGCAATAACCGCCATTTTCCGAGATGAAGAATGTCTACAGCGTTTTCGTTGTGTTGTGCATCAACCTCGGTGAGTACCTTTACACGCATCGATGACAACGGTGGTGACTGATTGACGGACAATCCGATTGCCGATCCGTTGTTGACCGACTAGAGTTGTAAGTTCGCACGACTGACTACATGTCGGGCGTGGACGCGGTTTTTTTAGCGTCGTCGAATCAAGGAGTGGCCCTACTGTCGATACGATTGTTTATGCCTGTAATGGCTCTATGGTAACAATGAGAATAAAATTGTGTGATTTACCAAATCAATTATGCGAGGACGTCGTCGCTGTGATATTTGTTATAATCTTAATTTAAAATTTCTAATACTTCAGCCTTTGTTACCAGTTCTAGTATAATACTTTGTTTGTCCATTAAATTCAGTGTCTGTATTTATGTACAGTCTATACTGAAAAAAGAAAATTTTATAATCGCAATCTCAGAATAAAGTACTTTAACTCCGTGTTATTAACAATTAATTTTTTTTTTTCACTATTCAAGAATATTTTATTATTTTCCAAGTATAAGTTACGTAGGTATCTATAAAAATTTGATTTCTCTATTCAGTTTTCAATTGTAAGTATAGTCATACATTTGTCAGTCATCACTCTTAATAAAATATTTTTATTGATACCCTTTCAATGATGAATTTTTGTCAAAAACATCCAAAATGAAGCTCAGTTCTAACAAACCTATAAGTACCTGTATAATACTTAAACATTAAATATTTTAGTTTAATATTTAATAATATAACTTGTCTCAAGTTTTAATCATAACTCAATTAAGATAGATATCTACAACATTTTATAATCTACTTTTATTAGGTATCTATTCAAACTATAGGTTACTTTAATTAAATATTTCGTTCGAAAGAAGTTTAAAGTTTGAACTATTTATGGACAATATACATAGTAATATTATATAACTATAATCTTGTTCGAAAAAATAAATTTTATTTATAATTAGGTACCTATTTAATTTGTGATATAAAGACTACCTACTTATTGTATGTCTATATAAAATAGTAAATTTGCATACAATTAATTTAATTTTAATATTAAATTAAATTTAACTATTATAGAATTTAAGATGAGAATGGTAGCTGTGTTTCTACATAAGTTTTTTTTTTAAATTTAAATTTGCTTATACTACTAATTATTATGGTTTAATTGATATTCAAATGTTAAAACTTATTGAGTTATATATTAAAAGGATCACCAATATATAAATTCACCTCATTAAATAGCAATGCGTCTTTACATAATTAAATAATATTTTTAATATGCATAAATCATTTATCAATTTATGTTCATTAGACATTAATAGAAGATCATATGAATATTAATATAATTCTTTTTCTTAATTAGTAATGACAATAATAATAATAATGAATATCCGGATATGTTATCAAATATTATAATATAATATAATATTTCTCTCTTTTCAATTTCATTACATCTTTACATCTTTCCAAATGACTTGCCCACTATGTCAAAACAAAGGCTGAAATTCCCAATTAATAGAGTCTTATAATAAAAATTATTCACTTCAGTCAATTGTGTTTGAATATCTTGATCGCTCAATTTAAATGAATATTTATTGCTTGGCCCAGACATTCAATATTGAATGCATGGCTGTTCTTAGCCTATGCAGAGTTGATGTATTATGTATGTCATAACTTAGTAATAATAATAAAAAAAAAAATACTTAAATTATAATTTGTACATGTTATTCAATATAAAATAGCACTTATAAATATTAATAATCAAATATTTAATGCATGCATTAAAAACATATATTTAATAGTTTTAATCAAGGTTTTAATTTAGAACTTGTTTGTTGTGAAACAACTAATACAAACCTTAGACATGTGTTTTACTTTTATCTTTGGCTTCTTCTAAATTTAGCTAAGCTATAAACATTTGTGTATTTATTTACTATAGACTTTGCTATTTGTTGAATACTTCAGCAATTAATATAATAGCTCCTTCTTTTTTAAAATTATGTAAATCTAAAATATAAAAACATAATATTAAAATTCAACTATACGAGTATTTAAGTATATATTAAATAACAGTTTTAATTTTTCAGTTAATGTTTACTTAAATATAAATTTTCCGTCTTATTTTTTAATAAGAAAATATGAATAACCTATTAAGACCGATTTTGTGTTACAGTTATGTAAAATAATATATAATCCTACTTTGTTATATGAACTCCATTTTTTAGAAATAAATTAAAAATCTCAATTTTTAAAACTTATTTTTTTTGTTTTGTGCCATTACTTAATTTTAATTCAATAGCAATTTTATAACAATATCTATTATAAGTATAAATATTTAATAATTTTTTGTAACATGACACCTAAATGATATAATATTTAGAAATCAGTACTCATTGTGAATGTGATATTATACATGTTATGTACTTGTATGCTACCTATCACTTTACTATAATTTTTATATATTTCTGTATTTACTGGTTACTGATAATTAAGGCTTAGAATTTAATGACCTTAGAACATTAAATTTAAAAAAAAAGACCTAAAAAATATATGCAAATATGACTTAAAAATGACAAAAAATTACAAATATTTGTTTAAAAAAAAATTATAATAATAATAAAAATTATTCAAAATTATTACATTGTAGTATTGTACTATTAAAGCATATTTTATATTATCAAAAGTAAAAATGACAGCTAGCAAATTGCTTTATTCTATTGAATCTTTTTCTTTACTTCACCTGTGTACAACTTGTATAAAATATAAATTTGATGTAGGTACTTATATACAGTTTGGGTAAAACAAAAACTAAGCGTGTAAAGATGTTAATTGACAAAATAATATGATTACAAGAAATTGAACTAAAATCACAAAAAATGACTTAAAAAGCCAAAAAATGCAAAATAAAAATTATTTATTTAGATTAATTTATTTATGAAACACATTTGTGGTAAGGAGAGTATTATCTAATAAGTTCTAAAAAAAAAAAAAAATGTAAATTGCATCAACTTTCAAACCCTACTGATAATGTACCTATTCATGATAATTTAATTTTATTGAAATGTTTATTAACTGAAGTGTAAATTTACAGTAACATATTAATTGCTCATATTTATCACTTATATTTTAAATATTATAATGCTGCATACTAAAATTATAATATTTAATTTTAATTTTAGCTTTTTCTCAGAGGACACCCACAATATCTCATATAACTCAAAAACCTATAAAAGATATTGGTGGTACAGCAGAGATGACATGTTCTGTTTTATATGCCATGGATTTTCCTGTTTTATGGGTGAAGGTTGATAAAGAAAAAATAACTGAACCTGTCATGCTTTCATCTGGAAGTACATTGATTATTAAAGATTCAAGATTTTCATTGAGACAAGACATTGACAGCACTAGTTACACACTACAGGTATTTGATTTAAATAAATTTCTACCATAAATTAAATGTTCTATATTTGTCTTGTATTTGAATATTAATCAATAATCTATGCGTTTAGATACCAACTTTGTCTTATTTTATATTTTATAAAAATTGGAAAAAATTTTAAATTTTCAGATTAAGGATATTCAAGAAACTGATGCTGGTTATTATCGTTGTCAAGTTTTGCTTGGGTTGAACAACAAAATATCTGCTGATGTTGAGTTAGAAGTGCGTAGACCTCCTATCATTTCTGACAACTCAACTAGATCATTGGTTGTTAACGAGGGTCAACCAGTAAAACTTGAATGCTATGCTGGTGGATTTCCCAGTCCGAGAGTTTCCTGGAGACGAGAAAATAATGCTATTTTACCCACAGGTGGATCGATTTATAGGTATACTAACAATAGTAATATAATGTAAATCTATGTATAAATTAAATATACATTTCATATTCTAGAGGTAACATTTTGAAAATTCCGGTCATAACAAAAGAAGATCGCGGAACCTATTACTGTGTAGCTGAAAATGGTGTCGGAAAAGGTGCCAGGCGTAATATTGCCATAGAGGTAGAATTTGCTCCAGTTATAACTGTTCCTAAACCTCGTTTGGGACAGGCTCTACAATATGACATGGATCTCGAGTGTCATGTTGAAGCTTATCCTCCACCAGCCATTGTTTGGATAAATAATGGAATACAATTATCCAATAATCAACATTACCGGTATACTTGGTTTTTGAGAATTTTAATTTGTTTATATTTTGATGAAAATATTTAATTAAGTTTTATTTTTACCTAGAATCTCACATTTTGCTACTGCAGATGAATTTACAGATACTACAATACGTATCATAACAATTGAAAAACGTCAATATGGTGATTACATTTGCAAAGCATCAAATGTATTAGGAACTGCTGAAGTTACAGTTAATCTTTATGGTAAATATTATGTGCATTATGATTGAATGCAAAAAAATAATAAGTACAATTCAAATTAATTTTAATGTCAATTTTACAGCATTTTAAACTTACAATATTTCCCTTTTCTAAAATGTTGCTTTGTCTTATTTTTCAAAAATATACTTAAAATATTTTATATATTTGAACTAATATTCAACATAACTTGATAATATAGTGGAACACATTTTGTTTATCTTGTTATTAACTTGCATATATGTTTCTATCTTAGAAACGTAGAACATAGCAAATTTCATAATCTCAATTATCTATTTTATTTTGTTATTTTTAAAATTAGTGTGAATTAACCTATTCTAAAATTTAAAAGTATGATCATTGTTCAAGACATATCAATAAAAATCTTTGATTCCTAATCTTACCTTTAAATTTTTTAATATATAAGTTCACTCTAATTATTAAATAAAATTGAGAAATATTGGTTATTGTGAATATTAAGTTCGTCATGTGTATAGTTGTAAGACAGAGAAAGTTCACATCCATGTACCATATTTTTATTGCTATTACTAATATTTCCAATATATTATCAATCTCCATGTATAAGTATTGCAATACTTAATTTAGGTGGGCAGTTCTGTGGTGGACAATGATAGTCCATAGGATATAGGTATAAAAGTTATAGATAATTGGATATAATTACATGGAATTTGTCCTATATTTTAGTGTAATAAATTCGTAGTTTACTGTACCTCAAATTTTATTTTTGTTCAATATCATTCGAAACTGATACCAGCACCACTATATACGTGTAATAAAAATAACTTATAATTGCAACATACAAATTTAGTGACCTATGAAACTAATAATTATTAATCTATTTCATATTTTCTCTATAGTTTATATTTTTATATTAGTTATAAACAAAATTTAACTTTTATTATTTGTTAATTTTATAGAAACAATAATACCAGTATGCCCACCAGCTTGTGGCCAATCATCTTCACACTTAAGAAGCTCCAGCATCAAAACTGCTAGCGTTAATGTTTCTTTCTTAATTGCTACTTACCTATATTTTGTTCACCTATATTTTTAAATAATTCATCAATACAGTGGTGTAACCAGAAGGAATTAAAAACCTATTCCTGAAGTGCCCATATTATTACATTTATTTGATAACTCCATTCGTGACGTATCTCATATTACATCACTGTATAAATGTATTATCTAATAGTATCACAACTGTTAGTGCTTTAATTTTATACTTAATAACTTCATACATTTATACCTACATCGAAAAATAATTATTCCGTCCAAGAACAAATTATTAATGTGTAAGCACCATTATTATTGCTTAGTTATTATCACATTTATATAATTTTGTTTACTTTTACTTTTAGACTGTTTAACAGTCCGTCCATTAAAAATATATATAAATTATATTTCATTTTATATACTTACTATTATTTAATGTAATTTTATATTTTTTTTCATAAATAATAATTATATATATTTTAATTAAAAATACATATCTTACTTTAATTTATTTGATGTAGTCAATTAGGATTATGCGACAATATTTTCAAGCACCACTTTTATCATGTGTGTACTTATCAACTAATCTACAATTAATAGTTGTAGACATGTGTATGTGGTACATTGCAGCATTTGTTGAATAGACATGGTTACAAAAATATTTGATAGGTCATCTGATAGTATTTATGAATATCTACGTTATTTGAATGATTCTCTTCAAAATTTTAGATTTTTAAAACATTAAAATATATAATGATATATTATATAAAACCTGTATTTATCAAAATCTTTGTATGTATTCATATTAAAATCAAATGTTCATTACTTAAAAAATTTACTCATAAATTCATTAATAATGTGTCATTGTACTAATTAAAATTCTAAATAATATAAAATGAACAAGAAGCTCATGGTATTGTTGCAATATGCAAATTGTTTTTTCAAAAGATGATTTAAAAAATATAAATTGAAACTGAATCAAAAAATGTATCATAACAAGTCTCAAGAAGAATTAAATCAAATACTTATGTGCTAAATAGACGGAATAATTAGTGAAATATATTATAATAACACTATCAAAAAAAACAAAAAGCTCTGATTTATTATGAAATGTACAAAATAATTGAATAATTTAAAATATTCATAATTATTGGGAATATGTTTTATAATAACTGAAAAAATAGCAGAAAACAACAATTTTATGGTAAAAAACTTAGTATTCTTAATTTTTTTAAAACGAAATAGAAAAAAGGTAGGTGGTAAATGAGGACCTATTGCTCTACTGTATATAAATGGGTCACTACTATAGATGTTTTGATGAATCATTGTTCACGGAAAACAATACTGACTGAAAATAATCTGTCAGTCAATATCACCAAGTATATTTCATGATATGTTTTTTGGTAAAGCTAATAAAGTAATTTATTTAACTTTTGTGTTACAGTAAGTTGATATAATTTTTTCCAAAAATATGTATAACATTTATAATATTATAAGTATTTAATTATTATAATAATGTATATTCATTATTTATACCATATTATATTAAATTATACAACTCAAAATTTTATAACATAATTTAGTAAATACCGTAAAAAGTAAAAATAGGTTCATATGCATCGTAATATAGATAATATTTTTAAATTAATCAAAAAAAAAAAAAAAACATTTCATATTTTCAATGTAAGTTCCCACGAATAATGCCTTTAAATTATGGCAATTAATTATTTAATTAATATCATTATTTATTTTTAAATAAGTATATTGAACTAATTGAACTTAAAATGTCTAAAAAATAATTTTCTTTAGATATATTTTAAATTTTATGGTTCCAGTATTATAAACTACTTATGAGAAATCTTGTAAACAATTTTCAAAACATAGATTTAAAACAGAAAGTTTTTATGAATTTTTAATTACAAAATAGTTTGCAATTCTTTGCAATTTTGACGAATGTCAATAAAATTCCAACTTAAAATGCATTTTAATATAGATATAAGAAAAACTTGTGTGGGATCTTATATTAAACTTTCAAGAATTTTTTGACTTTGCAAATAATTTTTTGTAAACAATTATAGAAAAAAAAATTAAAAATGTATTATAATACAAATGGTAACATTATTACATGATATTAATTTCAAATATTTATATAGGTAGAATATTTTTATATATTTAAAATAAAATATTTTTAAATGTAACAAAATATTACAGATTTTTTTGAGAAAAAAAAATTATTTATCGGGTGAATATCAGAATATCTAACCTACCTTGTTTTGGCATAAAAATTATCGTCTTTAAAATAATATATTATACTTAATAAATTAAGGTTATTAATAACTTTATAGCACTTTAAATACAAGCTCTAATGTTGTAAAAATTTTAACATCAAACGCCCATAATTAATTAATTTGATTTTCTGTTAAATTTTTTTATTATTTATAAGTAAAAAAATTAGTATTAAATTTTCAAATCTTACATAGAAAAATAAAACTTTTTATGAATACCTAACTATAAAATAATTTGTTTGTCTATGAGATTTTGACGAATTTTGTCAAAATTCTAATTTTAAAGACTAATAAAAAAAAACTTCTTATGAAAAAAATATTTTTTCTTAATTTTTCATATTTATAAACAGTTAAAAGATTCAAAATATTTTGTTAATTTTATTGTAAATGAAAAATAATTTTTTAAACATTTGGTGGAAATTGTTAGTATCAACGGTTATTCGTTCTCGAGTTCCACAGTAAAAAACAAATTTGGTTTTGTTAAAAATTGAATATGCGTAAAACTTCCTGGTTTTTTTAATTTTTTTTCCAATTATAAAAAAAAGTTCTTGGAATTTTTAATTTTGACCCCTTCAAAGTACAAGTTTGATTTAATTTTATATCCAAAACCATCTTCAAAATTAAAAATCGAATTATTTTATTGACTACTTGTTGTATACACATATTTTGTACTTTTTGTAGTTTATAATAGGTAGCTATTGCTTAATAGGTCAACAGGTCTTCGCTAAGAATCGTTCTTTGTATGCAACGATTTATCATAATATTCAAATTTAAGTAATTTAACACAACACATCTATTTCAGTGATAGATTCAATGACGAGGTATAGTAGATATACTCGAGTCTCGACTTCTACTACCCTACTGTCCAGTCGGTTAATTATTTTCCTTTTTATTTGTAAATATGGAAGCAATCAAAATGACGAATAAAGAATTAATAATAAATTTAAATTCATCAAAAAATTTAGAAAAGAACTATAGTTGTTTTATATTGTGTGGTGTGCGTAGTATCTACTCGTGGTGTACTTACTTACCAATTGATTATTGAACTGAGCATAGAGATATTGAGACAGTTTTTGATGTTACACTTGGACGTATTTAAAACGGATAGATTGACGAAGTCATTATTAAAATTTTTTATATGTACTGTACACCTTTTATAATTTTCAGAATGGTAATAGTACCTACACTTATAGCTGTAGGAGAGTTGAGAGTTAGGTACCTACATGGTTTGGTAGATAAGTAAAAATTAGTATTAATCACATTATGAAGTACAATAAATTGTAAGATGTCCTCCTTGGCTACAAAATGTAATACAAATTTATTAAAATGTAACAATTCAATAATATTATTATTACGTAATATTTATTAATCATTCATGTAAAAAAATATTAATATTAATATAGGTAATTAAAAAAATCCAGTTACAAAAAAAATTAATTATAAAAACTGAGAAAATTTTTAAAAAGCTACGGATATGTGTGACCATCTGGATTTCGTAAATAATTTAATCGTATTGGTATCTTGGACGACATTATCTATAAACATTGAATATTTTGCACAGCAATTCACCAATTACACATTTTCGTTAACGTTACCAAACAGTTGCACTAAATTATGTTATCGTCGGGACCAGAAACAGAAGATTACCATTACCTCAGGTCGTCATCGACGAAGAAAGCGCTGAAAAAGGGGGAACATGCGCTAAGAAAGATGCGCGTGTCCATACTGAGATCAATCAAGTCGTTGGTCCTCGACCGAGTGCCGGCTCGCAGCCGGAAGTCCATAGAGACACGTTACGCAAAACTTTTGCCCCGCGTGGCTCTAACTTTAGAGGCAGTGCAGGGGGAGGAAGAGGAGACGCCGATAGCGGGGCACACAGTAGATGTCAATGATTCCAGACATACACTGTTACCCCCATCAAAAATTATGGTAGCGGCTGTTCTGCTAACTGATATTTACCGTTTGGAGCAGCAACTAAAAGAAGTGGACGAGGAACGTGACCGGTTAACAATGGCTGGCAGCGAAGATATGTTTGGATGCAAAATTATATAATAATCTAAAGTTCAATGTTAAATTTTTTTTAAATAATTTATATGAATAAAATACATTGAACAGCGAGAGTTTTGATCAAAACAATTTTTTTTGTATTTCCCCTATGAATAATTAAATAATACAACAATACGTTTTACATTTCAATAAATAAATATTTTTTGGCTGTAGAAATAAACTTATTCAATTTCTAATTTATGGCATTTTTAAATATATCCAAGGACCATATTTTTACTTTTTAGTTGGATGTTTAGATTTTTTTACGATTTCAATTAATGTTCATTGAAGACATAAACTTCAATTTTTAAAAACGAGGACGAATTTTTTTTAATGCAAATTATTTAGTAGATATTTATTTTATAAGTACTTATTTAAATTAAAATTCAAATGAGTATATTCTGAATTATTAAAATATTTACATGATTATATCATGAATAATAGTTCTTAAAAATAGTGTAACAAAAGTATAAAATATTTAAATAAATGTAATAATATAATCTATAGCATTAGGTTTAATCAATGTCTATAGCCAATATCTATCTATATAGATAATATTGTATACAATCTAGGTATATGTACTTTTTTATGTACTACAATTAAGAGATGTTCCAACTAGATCATAATACCATAGATTAAATATACTATAATATATATTATTATATATAATTTAATCTATGATAATACGTATCAAAATTACCTTGATTATTAGGTAACTATTTCATTAATAATAGCATAACAGCCATAACAATTAACTGAATTAACAGCCATTATTATAGGTAGG